GTAAATAGTGAAAATAACTAACGACAGTGACTTCGTAAAGAGTGAAAATAACTGACTTCGTAAAGAGTGAAAATAACTAATGACAATAACTTCGTAAATAGTGAAAATAACTAATGACAATGACTTGGTAAAGAGTGAAAATAACTAATGACAATGACTTCGTAAATAGTGAAAATAACTTGTGATAATGATCCCGTAAACAGTGAGGATACCTTACAACTTCACAATACGAGAATTGTGACACATAATTGAAGGACTGGCTGGATAATTAGTGGTAATGACAGGATAAAAAATGAAAATTTCAATATAAAAATATGAACAGTGAAAATGGTTGACTTGATTAAAAGTGGAAATAAATTATTCGATAAGTGACAATAATATGATGAAGTGACAGTTTAATGGTTGAAACGACTGAACGGCGAAATTATCTGTATTAACAGTGGAACAGACTCTACATTGACTATTGCAGGATTTACAGTGAAGTGACCTAATAAAAGTCCATTACAGGTTTATCAATGGAAATGTCAACAGTGACATTCAAAGGATTAAAGATGAAAATGACTCGACAGGAACGGGGTTATTTTTCCTTTTTTGAATTCAGTGTAATTGAACATAATCTAATGTATTTACATGAATGCGTCCGAGTTGGCTTATGCTTTGACTATTTTAAAAGGAGACAATAATACTGGCAAGTTGTCTTCCTGGACTGCTAAAACATGAGGTTATTCAAACAAATTATATAAATTAGTACAATTATAACATGTATTATATTTGTCCACAGAGTTTGTCTTCAATTTTTCTTGTTTATACAAATGTACGTGTTATTCAAAACACAAAGAATGTTTCCATCATTTCAATTAAATGCATTGATTTATCCTTTGAAAATTAAAAAAAAAAAAACCACTTGGAATTGAAATGTAATCTTTTTGTGTTGGTTGTATATTATTACATAATAATTATGTTTTTGTTTTTAAATTTTATCAAATCGATGACAACAGTACATTATTCTTTCTTCCATAAGACTGAATATATAAATAAAAAAGATGTTCGCATCATCTTGATGCTACAAACACCAGAACCTCGTGTGAGTAACGACATGTATACGATCGTGTGAGTAACGACATGTATAAGATCGTGTGAGTAACGACATGCATACGATCGTGTGAGTAACGACCTGTATACGATCGTGTGAGTAACGACATGTATACGATCGTGTGAGTAACGACATGTATACGACCCTTACTCACCGAACCCGTCAGTGAGACTTAGTTGGTTTTACCCTTAACACATATATATCCTTATAAATTAAAGCTACCACATTAAGATCTGACATAAAATATCATAATTTCAAGAAAAGTAAACAAATAAAAATGAGCGTAAAATATGTTTGGTCAGCTAAACTAACGCAATTTGATACAAGACATTCAACTGTTAAAAGATATAATTGATAACTATGGGTAATCTTTGATAAACTTTTGTAAATTGACATTTTGCTGTGAAATCCGTAGGAACGATCTTTCTGCCATAATCCATGGGTAGGAGTTTGACTACGGGGTCAAGTCGCTTTCCTATAACACACATTTACCAATCAGTTGTTTCTTACATTCAGGAGAAAAAAAATCAGTGAATTATCTCACATTGAAGGTTTGCTGATTGCAGTATTCCCCGATATCAACACAACACCTGCCTCCTTCTGTTTTAATAAATCGTTGCCCTGATCTGCACCTCAGATAGTTATGTTTGATCTAATACAGGTTGTTCGATGTTAATTGTTATTACACTTACTTGGTTTATCAGAACCAAGTATCGCGTTTTTGCGTTAGGGAAAAGTAATTTAGTTTATTTATATAAAATTTTGTAGATCGTAAGTTTAACCTTCATTAACCTATGTTTTCATTGCGATGACAATGTATACTCTTTGGTACGTTCTACAAAGCTGCACTTTCATTGAAAATGACAATTTATATTCTCCAGTACTTTCTATGTCCCTAAGTGGTGTTCACGTGTGCTGAACCTCGGCATAGTCACAGTCCCTCTGTGGACAATCTAACAACGGATGGCCACCCTCCTTCTGGTCCGGCGTCTGACTGAAGTCCACATCCAGGTAAATCAACCCATCTTTGTTTTTGTGCCGTGAACCCTAAAAATAAAGAACACAAGACCCTTTATATTCATATGATTTATCATTGCTTTACATATTTCAATAATCGTGTAACATTATTCATATAAACACACAACTATAGATACATACAGGACGTTATTGATTAGTTATAAAATCGTGGCTAGGTCGATAAACAACGACACATCACAGTAGATTTCTCTATACTTAGTATCTCAATGACGCCATTGTCCATTATTTAATAATTAGATTAAGAAAATAAACAGCATTACGTCTTGGTTCGGTCCGTTTGTGTCTTCTTGTAACATCGGTTGTTTTGCAGCTGTGAAAGAGAACATGTATAAATATTTTTCTGCAAATGCATGTTATAAACATTTTACTTAACAAACCAGTTCCTGGTATAGGTAGTAGTAATAGTAATTTCTAGTAAATGACAGATCTTGTGCTTATAAAGCTTCCTCTGACAAGGACGAAGTTCAGACCAACCAACCAACAAAAAAGTTAGGCGATCAAAAACAGCTTTTTAATTAAGAAATAAATGTCATTTCTTCAGATGACATTTTTTATCACAGAACGGCTTATATTAAGATGTTCTTCTTTTCAACATAAGTAGCTCGTGTGATATAAAATTCAATATAAGCTCGCACACATTTGATTATTTAATGTTGCCATGCACCGTATGTCAAAAGTACTTCGACCAATGACACCAATAAACGAGGACATCTATTTAAACACATTTCAGAAATATCAGTCATTGTTATTCGCTTTATTACTTGACAATGGAACCAAAGTTTTATTTTTCTTTTGAAGCCTACATCACTAAAGTTACGGTTCATTAAAATCGCAAAGACTTTTTTCGTGAAAGTCAAACTGCTATGTCTTTGAGTTAAACACAATAAAACCGTTGTCATTTAAGATGATATAATTATAGTATAGGTTTTTGAAAAGGGTTCCCTTAACAATTTGAAGGTTTATGTATAAGACTCATCTTACCATTTGAAGGTTTATGTATAGGATTTCCCTTACCATTTGACGGTTTCTGTATAGAACAGTACGTACCATTTGATGGTTTCTGTATAGGACTCCTCTTACCATTTGTAGGTTTCTGTATAGGACTCCTCTAACCATTTGAAGGTTTGTGTATAGGTCTTTGGTTACCATTTGAAGGTTTTTGTATAGGACTACCCTTACCATTTGAAGGTTTCTGTATAGGAATAAGACTTCCCTTACCATTTGAAGGTTTTTGTATAGGACTCCTCTTACCATTTGAAGGTTTCTGTATAGAACCCCCTTACCATTTGAAGGTTTCTGTATAGGACTCCTCTTACCATTTGAAGGTTTTTGTATAGAACCCCCTTACCATTTAAAGGTTTCTGTATAGGACTACCCTTACCATTTGAAGGTTTCTGTATAGGACTACCCTTACCATTTGAAGGTTTCTGTATAGGAATAAGACTTCCCTTACCATTTGAAGGTTTTTGTATAGGACCCCTCTTACCATTTGAAGGTTTCTGTATAG